GAAAGGAGAATTCGATAAATCATACGCTGTTGAAGTTTTAATGTATTAAAATTGTGCGATCAGTAAACTGGCAGTTTGGGGGTTGAACTAGGTGCGTGTGGCTTGAAGCCGTAAAGCTTACATGCGCCTCGCCACCGGCTTCAGAACTACTACAGTTGTTATCTACAGAAGCTTCGTATATCTCAGCCGCAGACTTGAACATCCGACATACCAGCCGCCTGAAGGGGTTTATTTACTAAAATATCATATTTTTGAACAGCGGATGAATTGCCATAAAGATTAGTAAAGTAAAAAGATCTGGAACATCTAATCTCTGTCGAGAGCGATCATGATTCCTTTTAAAATACGTTTTCGCAGAATTTTGCCAAGCCATACTAGCCGCCATCGCTGTTCGCCCTTCCCCCCCAAAAATAAAATAAGCAAATGAATAAAAACTCCCACGCCTCGGCGCTCGACCCGATATCCTCGACTTTCGACCAAAATCGATGCGCCACAGTACTTGAAAAGTGATAACAATATTAAAAAAATGATTCGATTGACTAAAACCATTTTTGAAAAACTGCCTTGACACTGTTAGCTATCTCTCAGAAATATTTTTGTGTGCTCTTAGCTAAAACAAACAAACAAACAAAAAAACAAAAAACAATAAAATGATGAGAGGTCCCATTATGAACCGAGCAGAACGATCCACAGCGAATCGTGTTCAGTTTTAGTATTTTTCGGTAAGCTACGATTTCCGTCCATGGATTTTTTTTTCCTCCGCCGTTTGTTTAGTTCCCATGGAAAATACTCTTTGATGAAAAGGAATCGTGTCAAAGAACGTGACAAAAGACGGAGCTCAACCATCACATTTCAATAAAAGCGCAATAATTAAACTGAGTAAGAACATCTGCCTTTACACGTCCAGAATACAAGTAGGTGCCGATTTTTTTTCTATTTGATAACCACAACATTTTTCTTCGTGAAAATCAAATGATCACCGTACCAAATATTAATTATAAAGTAGGTAGATACGGCTCGAGCCTGGTAAATATCAGGTCGAAAACTGTAGAAAGATAATCACTTTTAAAAGCGGATTTGATCATAGGAAGTCATTGCGGAAGTATTGAATGCCTCTAAATACCTTATTCACTCAAAGGTTTATCGTGAAAAATGCACTTGCGTCAGACTGTAGTTTGTTTGTTCTTGATAACTAGAAATCTGAATGCCCGCGGCCGCTATCTAGCATATGATTATAAATAAAAATTTCAAAATGCCACATTCAAAGCTATCCAGCTATCTTTTTTAAGGATTGTGAGTTTTAATCAAGACTCTTTTAAACATCCAAAAATAGAAGGTCTAGACGTTTTGCATAAGAGAACCGTTTTTGTTTTTGATTATAGATCCCTTGTCATATAATAGGACGGAAAAAAGTTTACCTTCACTTGCTTTGCACGAATGAGCAAGCGTGAACCATTAAAGGTGTTTCTAAAAAATCGTCAAGGAAAATTAACGAAATGTACTCGGAAAAACCGCTCTTCACCAAGCTGATAATGAGCGGGTTGACCACCATGTTAACTTTGGTGTCTGCCTGCTGTAATGGCTTTGTTATTGTAGTCGTTGCCAGATTCAAATCGTTACGAACAGTTCCAAACATTCTCCTTTCCAACCACGCTCTGGTTGACTTGGCCAATGCCATCATCTGTGTGCCTCTTTACACGATGTACACCGTTTTAGAGGCCCGTTGGTTTCGAGGGAAGACTTTGGCAATCATGACAAGTTTCTTTGACCGAGTTTATATCGTTATCAACCTTACCTCGCTGTTGGCGATGATCGTTAATATTTTCCTTGCCATTTCCTATGACATGAAGTACAGCATCTGGAAAAGCAACAGAAAAGCCTTACTGTGCGTTTTCCTGATCTGGTTGATCGGCGTGGTGTTTGTGATTGTCGTCTCCATTCCCCTTCTTAACATAGATCTCGGAAACGCTCATGTCACTGAATACAGAGCGGTAATTTACGAGCAAGGAAAATATTTTGTGGCATCGTTCATGGCATTCTTCATCATTTCTGTTGCAATTCTTGGCTTCCTGACGACTCGCGCAATAAAATCGCGACGGAAAAAGGTAATCAAATGACCCATTCCTAGTCAACTCTCTTCATATTACATATGTCTGAGTCGAGGAAGGTTTCCTAAAGGTAATATTGAAGAGTTTAATAAATATACCTTGAAAAAGTAAAGGTACTCGAAGCCTCTTCTAAGCTGTATTGTCATTGTCTGCGTGGTAGTACAGTGAGATCACCAGCTGGTCTATTAAGACGGGGGAAGGAGGGGGGGGGGGGGGG